TTTATTTATTTATTTTTATCATCTCATCTCATCTCATCTCATCTCATCTCATCTCATCTCATCTCATTCTTTAATTTTATTTTTTAATTCTTTCACAGTTAGTTAACTTGTGTTCTTGTGATTTTTATTAGTAGGCGCCATACTCCTCTTTTTGACTAGCTGTAAAATAACATTGAACCCAAAGAATTTTAAATGCACTATAAGGACTTTTCTCTGTTTGATCTACCAGATGTTTTCTCGAAGATCGTTTAAACGCGACAAAAGTCAGATCCAGAGGTATATTTCCAGGAGCGACAGTTCGTAGAGGACCGCACTTAACACTTAATAATGACTTGGGTTCCTCAGTTGGTCAAGTCGTTGAGTTCACAGCTTGGGAAAGAAAGCCAAGGAGTGCTGTAATTATTCAATGGAGTGATGGTCTTGAAACCACACATAGGGTTGGTTATGAAGGAAAAGTAAGTCTTGTATTGTTTTGCAGTCTCAATGTTCTTTTGAGCAAGGTGCCATGACATGTAATGACGCCGACAGGCTATGGTTTATATTGGGGCAATAATATACATGGGTTGTTCTGTGACAGAACACAGGATTCAGCCGTGTCATCTCCATAGTTAATTAAAAGTCGGACATCTTCATCCAATGAATCCAATAGTCTCCTTCAGGTTCCCCTGTCATATTGAATAAATTATGATAATGAAGATGAAATTCAACGAGACGAACGGCGAGCTGTTTCTTTTTTCTTTTTTCTTTGTTGTTGTTGTTGTTGTTGTTGTTGTTGTTGTTGTTGTTGTTGCTTTTAAGACATCCCAGTGAGATCAAGTGCCGTTTTGTTTTCCATATCAACTTTTCAATTCAGTTTCGTTTTGTTAGTAAATATGTGACTCACCGTTCGGCCCCGTTGTGATGTTCATTATCATAATGTATTCAATATGTCAAAGGAACCATGAAAGCTAAGAGAGACTATTGGAATTTAGACCTTCAAGAGGGAATGACCAAAAAACCTTGGAAGAACTGGAGAAAAGCAACAAGCAGCTCTACAGACATGCATACGACGTCAATTTTATGAATTGATCCCTGCGACACCCTTCTTCCCCTATCATACATTATGACGCATATCTCATTATCATGTAAACTTATTTAATTCTTTCGAGTTTGGCGTCACTTTCATGTCCCTTAATACGAAAAACAGGCTGCAATTCAAGCAATTGTAATAACATCAGAGCGAGTTCATTGTTGTAATTTCTCAACTACCCTGCGAGCAGAGGTCTTCTTTCTTTCCCCCGTAGGGCTGAGCGGAAGACTGTTCAGCTTGTCCCAGTTTTTAAAATACCTAAAGTCAAAACGTAGGGAAGATAAAGAGATCTCTGCAAACAGGGTAGCTCAATTTTCCTTTGTGGGCAGGTCTCATTAGTGAATGAGTGAGGAGTGAGCGGTCTCACCATTACACCACTCGTGCTTTCCATAACATATGTAATGTAAACGTCACTTACTTGTTCTTATATTTGGGCGATACTAGGTCGATTTGGAGCTTGTTGAGTGTGCCGATGGACCATTATATTACAAGGATCACCTTCCTGTCGTGGAGTACCAATCAGCAGACACACAGGGAGAATTTAGAGTCGGTGATCAAGTGAGGGTGAATCGGTATAATGAGACTGTGAAGAAAATGACACAGGAAAACAGCGGATGGGCCGCAAACGAAAGTCAACACGTAAGACGTCTATATATGTAATAAGGGTTATTTGGGTAACAAAGTCGAAACTGGTGCTTGAAATCAGTCGTCCAACCTATTAAGGGGATATTTAGGACTTCTAAGTTTGATTCTAACGTAAGATGTTTTCGAGCCAGGTCTGGTAGTGATCTTAAGACTGGTACTCGAGTATCAGTGCGCCTATACGTGAGTGTGTTTCGCGTGTGCACTTTCCTTCTCTTGACTAAACCAAGCTCAAGTCGACTTTTTCAATTACATTTTCAGCCACTTTGTCAAGTGGGAAGAATTTTTAAGATCGACGATGACGACAACGTTCATGTTGCATATGGACCAGTATTGATCCTCCACCGTAACGTAATTCAAAAGGTAAGAAAATAATACACACTGATATAAACAAAGGAACGGGGTCTCTTGTTGAAAGTATTCCTTTAAATGAGCCTCTTTAACTTAAGGGCAATGTTTTGCCCATTTAAAACCATGTTTTCCCCCAAGTGCATATATTATTTCCTTGTTTATAAGTTGCACATGAGAAGACAAATACGGACACGGATACAACTCAAACAAAGAATCAAATTCACAAGAGAATAAACATGTGGTCTGAAATGGGAAAATGCGCATAGGCGAAAAAGTTCTAATTAGCTAGGATCGATAACAAACTTTATTTTCCAGCTTTTGTTGCAGGATTTTAAACTTGAAACTCTTCTCAGATTCCTTTTCTTCTAGTATAAAACAAACAAAAATATAAAACGGAACAAACAAACACCAAGTGCACCAAGTGGTGTCCAAGTGGTAGACACAGACAACGGCTACCACAGAAAATATAGGCAGAAATAAAAAATATATACATATATATAAGACAAAAAGTGTTATTCAAATCAGTCACAAACTAGCTAAAGTTCTGGCTTATCGTAATACGTTAATACGTATTTAACAATGCCTTTTTGCGACAGGTCCCTGAGCTGCAAGTCCAAGATGACCTCAATAATATAAGTCAATATGTAGAAATGCTTTTAATGAACGAGTTCCAAGGTGACGTTGAACACGAAATTCCAAAGGTATCGCTTTGGGAATCAAGGGTAGTGTAGTCTTAGTGTAACTCGCCTCTCACCTCTGGGTTTTCGATCTCGATTCCATTACTCGGCATCACATGTGACCAAAGTTTGTTACGTCTAAGTCTCAATTGATTCAAGGGTTTTTCTCCTGGTTTTCTGGTTTTCCTTCCTCCATAAAACCTAACCTTCTAAATTCCAATTCCATCTTTGAGTTAGCCATGCCCTGACCTTCAGCAGCTTAGAAGTTGTTTTAGGCTTTGATCTGTGAGTTGTCCATGCCCTGATTTTGATCACCCCAGAGGTTGTATTTATTTTATGACTACAGAATAAAGAAACAAGGTGGGATTGCGTAACACATCCATTCTCACAGAATGTCTGTATACCCTCATAGGTACTAGATAACGAGGAGGAAGGACCAGTGATACGAGAAATAGATGAGAATACCGATGCCTTGTTTAATGTCGAAAGTTTCCTTAAGAATGAGGAAGTCTTAGAGCAGAATAATCTAGAGATGACAGGTTTGTTAACAAACAGTATAACGAAATATGGCGACCACTCAATAGCTATTATTCTCGGGACTGACTCACCTCGTGTTCATATGCAAACATGAAAGCGTTTTCACCTGTAGCAGAGGCTAGTCAGTACAGAACAATAGTTCTTTTAATTGGTCGCCATATTTCGATTTGGTATATAACTTATAGGAAAGAGATAATGCTATCCCCCTTCCAAGGAAAGCACGGGTGGCGAGCGCTGTTAACGCGTCGCCTGTCACCAATTTGATCCGGGCTCGAGTCCTGCCGGGCGTTGTGTCGTATGTGAACAGTTGTTTGTTAATAATTAACAATTAGTGGTCTTCAAGATGTGATATGTTAACTGCCAGTTTCATTTAATCATTTAGAAATAGAGATGAAGGAACAGCTTTTCTTAGAATCCATTGCTGGTGATTTAGAAAGAGTACGATATATTCTCACTTTAGACGAGGACTTGGTGAGTGTCAGTAGTAAACACTACATCAATAGTTTTCTTCATCATTCCATGCCTGGCGTGGGTGCCAAACAATGACTTGAATATTAGGGACTAAATAGCACTAACAGGGATGTTTACTGATTACCTTACTTCATTAACTCACAATAAGCCGAAAACTTTGCTCACTAGAGACCTTTAGCATCGTGTTTACCTCTAACCGCTAACCTGCACGTACCGGTAGAAATCAGGCCGCAAAAAACGCCCGCAAACACGGAGAAACACTCGGCATCAATGAAATTCAATATGGCTACTCTTCCAACGACAACTTCGTTATGACGCCTTGATAAATGTCAAAATGAGCAGTTATATATGTTACAAAGTTATCTTTAACACTGCAACCTGGTGTCCAATTTATGCGCAATATGCAAATGAACATTACACTTGGCATGCATACAGTAATTGCTTTTCATGAACACAGACTAATTCATATAGACCACTTGCAGCACTTTGGAATACTTCTCAATCTGGGGAACAAAACAATGGGTTCCAATTCTCAGGAAATTGGAATTCTTTTGTTTTGTACCCCAGATCGAGCTGCTTTGACGTCACATGCATGCATCGTTTGTGAGTTGATTATTCGTATAAATAGCGGATCTAACAACATTGGCATTAGTTCAAGCTGCACATTCGTTGAACTGACTCAGTTTACGAGTTCAAACATTCAATGATTACAGCAGTATTTACCGAATGAGAAAAGAGACTCATTGAGATGAATTAGAGGGCGTGGCTATCATAGTGTTTTAGCAGGCTCAATAGCGCGAAGGAGGTTTGAAACTGTGCTCTTAATTAGCGATGAAATTTGGGCAACTTATGCTTTGAATTACTTCAAAAGTTATCAATAGTTTGAGAAGCCATATAAAGCACTTGAAAGAGTGTTTCATTATCTATCCAAACACCTCGAATTTGGGTTTTTCAACTCACTTCTATGTGTTTGGAAATCAGATGAAACACTCTTTCATGTGTTTGATACATTTACATTCATTCATACATACATTCATACATAAATTCGTTACATAATTTTTCTTCAGATTAAGACGACAGAATGGAAGGATAGTTGGAGGTCACTTAGGACCTTTCATTGAAATTACTTTCAGGTCAACGAGAAATCAGAAAAGGGTATAGCCCTACTTCATGTGGCATGCAAATATGGCAACGCCGATGTCGTGTCTTGTCTAATAGAGAATGGAGCAGACGTGGAAATAAAGGTAACCCAATGTGATATCATGTGTAATGGCTGGTGACAGTAGACATCTTGCAGTAGTTGCAGAGTTAAATTTCAATCAGTCGATACAAAAAGTCTTTGAATCTCATTATCTGCTCCGAATGGTGGTCAAACACTGGCCACCATGTGCTGTGAGCCAGGAAATATTTCAATTCGGAAAATTTGCAATTTAGCTGTTGAACATTCCACACGATAAATGACGTCATGTGAAACCCGGCCACTGAATTCCCAATGCAGTTAAATTTGGTTGACAAAACAACAAAATTTTACTCTCATGAGAATTCAAGTCCGCTAATTTGTACTTTAAGTTGAGCTATTCTAGTAATGGACTGATTCAATGATACGGCGGCCATCTTGGATCGCAAGGCTTAATGGTGTTTTCAGGGGGCACCAAAAAAAGCTTTGTTACAGTAATGATACTACAACTTACCACAAGAGAATACATCAAAAGATGAATTAAGACGGTACATCGATGACATTTGCCCATAAAGAAAACCAAATATAAGGAACTTTATATATTTTCCGTCATCTTTGTTTTGTTGTGACCCCTGGCAAGATGGCCGCCGTGTCATCGAAGTTATCCATTGCTGCAAGCGGTGTTAGTTTTTACTTGACAGTATTGACTTACAATTTGTATTGATATGTAGGATGAGAACGGATTCACACCTCTACACTATGCGGCCTCTGGGTAAGTATTTACTCATGATGTTGCATTACTAAGTCAATGAATTCTACAACGTCTTTACATTATGTTTATGCGTTCATCACTCAACAGGRATAAGACTGGCGAGTGTGTAGTTCYCATGTTGACTGCTAATGCCATCGTCAATATTGTGAGTGCAAAGACAAAGTTAACACCACTTCACTTGGCAGTGGACGCACGGAACTTACCAGCAGTTAGTGCTCTTATAAACTCTGGACAATGTGACGTTAATTACCAGGTTTGGATTCAAATAGTTTTGTCAGTTTTATTAGAGGAGATGTCGGAATGTTTTAAAAATGTACGGTAATGACTCCCAAAACGCAATTATGCGACATGCCTAAGCCTCAAATTTACCAGCTAATAAACTTTAGGAAATTTGACGTTAATACCAGGTTTGAACTCAAAGTGTACGGAGCTGACCTACAAAAAGTTCATGGTAAAAGCATGCCTAATGAAAAATGAGTTTATAAGTTCAAACGAATAAATGGTATGTAAACGGTCTGAGTAGAGAATGTACACATTAACTGTTCGAAATGGTTTACTCGCACATGCAAGAACAGACTGCGACGTAAAATGTTAAAACTTTTGGCGTGGCAAGTATGACTCCTTCCCACAGACTGGGATCTCGAAATCGATGCTTGGACCTGGCATCAGACGTGAGTAGAGTCTATTAGGTCTCTCCCTTGATTAGAGGGTCTTAACTCGGTTCTCCGGTTTTCCTCCCTCTGCGAGACCTACTGATAAAATTTGAAAGTTTACCAAAGAAGTGCTGCAGTTCTTAAAGTATGTCATTTCCTAGCAAAAAGWCAGCATCTTTAAAGGACCAATTTGATTTTTTTCAGAATGTAGCAGGGAACACACCCTTACACTGTGCAGTTTTTGCTGAGGAGTCGTCCATCTTAGCTGAAATTTTAAAAGTCTCTATTGTTGATCCCTACATTTGCAATATTAATGGACTTAACGCTTTGCAACTGGCCTGTGAACTTAACAATAAATCGTAAGTTTATTCTTAATTGAAAACAARAAATCTTATTTTTATTTTTTTAGAATTTTGAAATAGTCTTTCAGAATGAATTATGTTAATTAGCATAAGGAGCAAACATGAGGAATTAACCATTGATAATTATAAAATACTTGCTATAAATCTCGAGTTCTGATTGGCTGGGAGCGCGTGCATTATGATAGCACACAGTACGTGTGCGCACTTTATACTTTGTCATTCGTATCCAAAGTAACGGTTACTCTATTTTGTGTTTTATAAAAGGAAAACAAAACTTTCTTGCCGTGGTGCGTGTAGTTATAAATTACTTAGGGATTGGCAGAAAACTCGAGCGGTATTGAGAAGCACTCCTTTACTCGTCGTGCTACGCCTAACACTTTCCTTGTTTTCTGCGACATGTCGTCTTCTGCCAGTCCCCGCGTTCTATATGAATACACACAATGAAACCCAGAACAAGCTTTAATAAAAACCCGCCGGACAAGCTCAAGTGATTAAACCGCACGCAAACCAAAAAACTCTCTCCTCATCCCTTGGATATTGCTCCATCAACACAACGTTTAATTCATTCTAATTTATGTTATTTTCAAATTAGTCGTAACAGTTCTCCTTAATTCTAGGGCTACCCGTGCGTTGCTGAATAAATTCCCTAAATTGATTGATGTAAGAAACCAAGATGGCTTTACTCCCCTGCACCTTGCTGTCCTAAGCAAACACTGCCAGATTGCCAAACTTCTGATCAATGAGGCAAGTAATCTTAGAACTCCAAGTTTTCTCCCTGAAATATTTTTCATCAAACTACATTCTTTTTCTTTATTGAATTTCAATTTCTTAAGGCCGAATTARCTATTGACCATTAGTAGTTTTATACTAATTGTATGTAGCTTACTTTCGCTCCTGACAGGGTCGCTGTTCCATTGATTTACCCGATAACAACGGTGTAACAGCTTTAGCTTTAGCAGTGTCTTTATCGCATAAAGACATGATAGAGATTCTGATGGAGTGTGGTGCAAATGTGAATGCTGTGGATAATGGTGGTGACACACCTCTTCATGTTGCACTCATGAAATACTATGCATTACAGAAAGAAGTAAGTAAACGAATAGGTAGTGGTAGTATACCTATTTATAAATATTTGAAATATAACGCGCGCGCTGATTGGCTGGCAACCGTGTTATCAGAGAACAAAGAGTACACCCTCGCGCAAAATCGTTCAAAAATATTTTATAAAAGCAATATAAAGCGCCTGCATATGTCACTCTCTGTACCATGAAATAAACAATCTGCTACGCATCGTGTTCCTATAAGCTCACTTCTCTCTTGCTCTACAGCTTCTAGCTTGTTTATATATCATAGTACAAAGACACGCGAGCGCGTTTTATACTTCTTAAATATACATATATATGCGCTTGATTGATACTTGAGTGGAATCTGTTGTTATAAAATCTTGGAGACGTGTATACCATATTCTCGATTCATCTTTCGCTCTGTTCCTGCGACTTGAAGTCTTGAAACATGCAGTACCTTTCTCTCAGTCTACACTATAAACATCTCATGCTACTCATCTCCACCCTCGTCTAATATTGTGTTGCGTTTAAAATTATATTAATTGAACGTCGTTTGCTTTTTGAGCCCGATCCAGGATTCGTTGGGCGTTCAAACATAAAATTGCAGGATGCCATCATAAAGTCTCTAGTTCTTCGAGGAGCAGACACCAGCTTGAAAAATAAACAAGGAGACACGCCTCTAGATGTCTGCGTCTATGATGAGTTGGCAAACACCCTTAAAGAGCTGTTAAAGTACCCAAGGTTCGTGATTTCCAATCTGGGCCCAATTGTATGAAGGGTGGATAGCGATATCCAATAGATAAAACCATAAATATCGACCGCGACGTTTCGCCGGACTGCAATCTGCTAGTCTTCATCAGGGCTTGGTGTAGACTACACCATCGTTATTTCAGTACAACATCGCCTGATAAAGACTAGCAGGTAGCAGTCGGGACTTCGCAAACTTTCTACAAATTACCATCAATCGTGGGAAAAATGAATAAGTATCGTTTATAATGATATGTTGGTTATTTTTAATTTAAAAGTGCTTCAATGGTAGCAAAAGCACCAAGACGTGATTCCCTTGCAGAGGGTGTAAAAGAATAAGCCAAGGACACTTGTGACGTAGCCTCACCAACCTCTTCTAAAGATTATGCTAAACCAAGCAACCGTTCCAAGGACGATAGATCAAATTCAGAGGCTTTTCAGAGCGTCCTAACGGGTTGCGATGACACCAATATACCGGCACACGATGGCCGTAGTGCATAACCAAGGTGCAAATGAGAACGACCAGCATGCGGCTCATACTAAAGGACGGATCATTAGATAGTTGATGGGGGAGGGGGGGGGGAATTCCCTGAAAAAATATCGAGCAAGCTTTTAAACCTCAAAAAAAATATCGTGCAACCTCTACTGCTAGAAGAAAAATATCTAACTGTACGCAAAAAAATAACGTGCAAGGGTTGAGCTAAAAAATAAATAGACAGACAGACAGACAGACAGACAGACAGACAGA